GGCCAGAAAAAGGACACCATACGGTCAGCACGTCCACTGAGACAGGAGCCGTAGGGGCATGGGAGGGACCTGCTATTGGCTCTGTAGGGGGCAATATCCCGGGAAGTGACGGGTTAGTAGCGGCAAGGCCACGTGGGGCAGCGCGCGCGGGAGACACAGGGTGGATGGGGGGGAGGGTACAGAGAGGCTGCTGACTGGGGTGAGGGGGCCCCCAAAGGGAGGAGAGGGGGCAGCCCCACTTACCTCGTAGGTGCTGGTGATGCCCAGGCGGTAGAAGACAGGCAGGAAGACCTCGGCGCTGATCACCACCACCAGGAGGTAGGTGATGGCGAAGATGCAGAAAATGGCCCCAAAGCGGTAGATCTCCGCCGGGGTGCCCAGCACGGTGACCGCCGACATGAAGCTGGCGGTGAGGGACAGCGCCACAGGCAGGGCACTCATGCTGCGGCCGCCCATCAGGAAGTCCTTGGAGGTCTGCTGGCCACCGCCCGCGAAGGCGTAGTACACGCCGATGACCGCGGAGATCAGCAGCATGGCACCGAACACCACGTAGTCCCACACGGAGAAGTGCCCGATGGCCATGGCCCAGCCGCACGGGAGCTCGCAGTGGTGTTGGGGAGGGTTAGCTTTGGGGGTCGAGGGGGGTCACTACACTGGGCTACGGCCACCAGCCAGAGAGCCCGGCTCTCCGCACTCAGTGCAGGACTTTGCCCCACACACCCCGTGCCTGGCTCTGCGCCCCTACTCTCAGTGCGCCCCAGACCAGCTCTGCGCACCTTATACTTAGCTCTGTGAGCCCTACGCTTTTTGCTCTCCTGCGCTGTTGAGTGCCACAGATCCCGCTGAGAGCTCAGTCCCAGGAAATCTTCTTTGCTCCCCTTCTCTGTTCTGGTCCCTCGGCGCATGTGGCACGGCTTTTGCTGGGAACACCAAGAGCAGTGACTAAATAAAGTCCCGGGTGAGTGGTTGACAGGAACCAGCTCAGCAGAGGAGCAGGAGGTTCATGGCCAAGATCCACCCACCTGCTCCCAGGCAGGGAGATTAGCTGTTAAATGTCTCAACTCTTGCACCAGGATTATTAGGGCTGGTCTTTATCAAGTGGGAGGGAGCTGTTAGACAGTGCTAGCCCTATCCTGGTGGCACAATGTCACTCATTTCAACACACTTATCCCTCCCATCCTTATGATTAAGAAGCTTGTTGGTGGGTGGAAATTAGTTTGCCCTTAAAACACTCATTCACCTTCCTCTCAACACTTCCCAGGACTTATTCCCAGGACTTATTCCCCGCCCTGCCAGACAACCAAAAGGCCTGGTGAAATTCTGCCTGGCTACTTGTATGGTATAGTATGGTATGGACTAATACAGAGATCGGTGGTTTTCAATCTCTGGTCCCCTGACCCGTGGGGGTCCTCAAACTATGTCTAAGATTTCCAAAGGGGTTTGCACCTCCATTTGAAATTTGCTAGGAGTCTGCAAATGAAAAAAAAAAGGTAGAAAACATGTTCTAGCATGTACATATTACCTATAAGCCTGTATTTTAAAAATACTACTGCATAGGTGTTGTCTCCCAACAGCAAGGGAAACTCCTTCATAGCCAGAATCCCATTTAATACACCTCCTCTGTAAAGACCTTTCCCTCTTCTCCCCCCCTTCTCGAGACCTCAGCCACAGCTAGCCAGA